GACCCCAGGTGATTCTCAATGACAGTTGTTATGTATTTTATTTGCAGTTTTGATGTGGTCATGAAAAGGAAGCAAGCACAGCGTTTACTCACGTCACCATCTTGACCAGAATTCCACATATGTCTTTTCAAATTAGTGTTTTTGTTTTCTTCAGATAAACACCCAGAAGTAGAATTGCAGGATCATATGACAGCTCTATTTTAATTTTTTGAGGAATCTCCATACCGTTTTCCAAGGTGGCTGCAATAATTCACAATCCCACTGACAGTATATGAGGGTTCTTTTTTCTCCACATCTTCACCAGCACTTATTTGATTTGATGATATCGATTCTGACAGATGTGAAGTGATATTGCATTGTGGTTTAATTTGCTTTTACTTGATGATTAAGGATGTTAAGCATTTTTTCATATGTCTAGAGGCCATATGCATGTTGAAGAAATGTCTGTTCAGATCATCTGCCCATTTTTTAATTGGATTGTTTTTGTTTGTTTGTGTGTTTGTGTGTTTTGGTATTGTATGAGTTTGTTATAACTTGGATATTATCCCTTTATTGGATACATCATTTGCACTTATCTTCTTCCACTCAATAGGTTGTTTTTCTCTTTTGTTGATGGTTTCATTCATTGTGAAAAAATATCTTTTGTTTTCTGGTTGTTCTGTGTCTCCATTGTTTTTTTTTTTTGTTTCTCTTGCATTTCTCTCTGCTATTTGAGTTTGGTGGTTTACTATTTTTACCTTCCGTTTCCTATTTGTATTATGATTTGTATCTCAGTTCTGGAGTTTTCTTTTGTGGATACCGTTAAGTTTGTGTAAAATGTCTCTTAGGTTCAAATAATACATTTTTCTGTGCTTACACTTATCTCACTTACCTCTACATGTTCAATCCTTTCCCTCCTCCCTTTTTATATTTTTGTTGTCACAAATTATCGCTTTTTATGTTGTGTGTTCATTACCACATTACAGTATAGTTATTTTTAATGTTTTTACCCCTGTAACCTTTATGTTATAATTGTTTAATATTTTATTCTTAAGTAAAGTTGCACTGTATTGCTCCTGTTTGTCTTGTTTCTTATCTTACTCAGTTTTATATGCTTTTGTCTTTTTGTTTGTGGTAGAATGGCTACTTTCTACATATCTTTCTGTGCAGTGGTTATGGTGGTACATTCTCTTAACTTTTGTTTATCTGGGAAAGCCTTTATTTCTCCTTCATATCTATAGGGTAACTTTGCTGGATATATTCTTTTTGGCTCATGGTTCCTCTCTTTCAATGTTTTGAACATTTTCTTCTACCCTCTTCAGGCTTGGAAGTTTTCTGTTAAAAAATCTGATGAGGGCTAGCCAAGTGGCTCAGTTGGTGAAGAGTGTGAGCTCTGAGCAACAGGGTCGCCAGTTTGATTCCCACATGGGCCAGTGAGCTGCTCCCAAGCTGAGCTGCCCTGAGCTGCTGACAGGTGGCTGGATAGCTCAGTGGTTAGAGCATGCGCTCTTAGCAACAAGGTTTCTGGTTTGACTCCCACATGGGCAGTGGGCTATGCCCACCCACAACTAATGTTGAACATGGCACCTTGAGATGAGCGGCTTTGAGCTGCCGACGGGCAGCTGGATGGCAACTGGACTTGGAGCTAAGCTAGCTGAGCCCTCCACAACTAAGATTGAAGGACAACAATTTAGCTGGTCCCCTTTCCCAAATCCCTAACACTGTTCCCCTTTCCCAATTCCTCAATAAAATATTTTTAAAAAGTAAAAATATGATGATAATCCAATTAGATTTTTTTGTTTTTTGTTTTGTAAATTAGTCTTGTTTTTTCATGGCTGCCTTGAGAATTCATTTTTCTGTCATTACTTTTTGACAGTTTTGACATGATGTGTCTTAAATAAGTCTTTTCTGTGTCAAGGTAGTTAGGTGTTCAGTTAGCCTCATGTGTATGAATGTCTAACTCTTCCCATAGGTTTGAGAAGTTCTCATCAATTTCTTCCTTGAATAGGCTCTCTGTTCCCTTCTTCCTCTCTTCCTTGGAATATGCATTATTCTTATGTTGCTCTTTCTAATGGGGTCAGATAGTTCTCATAGAGTTCTTTCATTTTTTTATAAAAACTCTTGATTCTCTCTCTCCTTACTCCTGTGTCATTTTTTGGCTTCTGTCTTTAATTCTCTCTTCCATGTGCTCTACTGTTTTTCTACTACTCCATAATGCATTTTTCATCACATTTATTGAGTTCTTCAGCTCCAGAATTTCTGATGGGTCCTTTTTTATAGCTTCTAGTTCTTTGTAAAATACTCCTTTTGTTCAGTAGTTTGATTCCTAAGCTCACTGAACTGTCTTTCTGAGTTTTCTTATATCTCATTGAAATTTTCATAACTGCAATTTTAATTCTCTGTCATTTAAGCCATAGTCATCCATGTCTTTGAGTTTGATTTTGGGAGGCTTCAATTTCTTTCTGTGCTACCTTGTTACTTTGGTTATTCATGGTACTTGATGGATTGTTTCTTTGCCAGCGCACTTGAAAAAGTGAGCTCTTTTTTTCTTTTTTTTTTTTTTTTTTTTTTTTTTTTTTTTTAGCTGAGCCATCCTGCTACCTGTTGGCAGCTCAGCGGCTGCTCAGCTGGGGCTGGACTCAAACCGCTGTTGCTCAGAGCTCAAACTCTTGAGCAAGCTCTTAACCAACTGAGCCACTCAGCTGGCCCTCTTTTTTTCTTTTTTAGAACTGCTTTGCTCTTAACAATTCAGCAGGTTGACAAGTAGAAGTCTTTCTTTTGTTTTCTAATAAATGGTGCTGTAGCATAATTTGCTTTTTCTTCCTTGCACTTAGCACTTCCAGGATCTCAGTGGGGTGGTATGGCCTCTGTCATGAAAGATGCCCTGCATTTCCGGGGTTAGTGGGCATCCCTTTTGTGTCTGGGTCACCTCAGTCTTGGAGCACCACTCCTGTAGTGGGATATTGCTGTCATTGAAGCTTGGTGCCTGAGAGCACCAGGTGTTGCCCCTTGTAACCAGTGGCCACTGGGGGCCCTGGATTATCAAGACATGTTTCTGCTGCCTCAACTGGTTTCCACCTCTACCCGGTTCTGCTACAATGGTGTGAGCATGGGGTGGCAGGTTCATGATTTTTCCGCTTTGCCTTTATGTTAGTGATGGCCATCACAAAACCAGGCTTTGCCTTTCTATCCACAATGGCTGTGAGTGGCTATGCTAGTCTGCCAGCAAAATTGCTGCAAGTTGAGCACATATCTTCCCCACCATCAACAGGTTTTGCGATAATGGGAGCTGCCTTTTCACGCAGGTATTTTGCTTTTGCCTCTATGGCTATCTTGGTTGCAGTTTGAGAGCTATAACTTGACTGGTCCACCAGTACAGGCTGCAGCTTGCTTTGAACTGCATCTACAGCCACCATCACTGTTCTTCCCCTTGTTCCACCTATCTCGCTTGTTCCAGTGCTCCCACCTCAGTTCTACTGATACATAGATCTCTCAGATATGTTTGTGTGTGTAGCAGAGGATCTTTTGCTAAATTATAGTTGTCCAATTGATTGTAAGTATAAGGGAAGATATAAAGGGCCTTTTACACTCTGCCATCATGCTGACATAAGTTTCGCTTATTGCTTTTTGATATGCGTATCCAGTGACTGGAAAAATTTTTATATAACTACCATAAGCTGAGGTTAGTATTGTTACTGCTAAAACTTCATTTCAGTTGATAAGTTGAATTTAGAAAGGGATACATTTCTCCCCTTTTCATTCTTTTATCTAAGATGATTTTGTGAAATTATGTGGCTCATTATTTGTGTGTGTGTGTGTGTGTGTGTGTGTATTGTGTGTATTGTGTGTGTGTATAAAAGTAGAGATGGAAGTAGAGAGCCACAGAAATTGTAACCTATTTTAAAATTTTCTCTAGTTAGATATTGGTTCATTATACCAAGACTTAATAGAGCTTGGATTGTAGATATAGCTCAATTAGTGAAAAAATGCATATTAATAACACTGAAATGAAATATCATTCAACAGTATACATCTTACCATAAAAAGAAATCAGGATGTAGCCCTAGAATACCATTTACCCTGCAACCTTCCTAAAGGGATTTTGTTAATTCCCATAATACAAGCAAATGAGTGTTTTCTCTTCACTCCCTATTGATAGTTAAATATAGTATCCTTATAATTATCTATTATTCTCTTTGTTTCTCAATACTATTTCCTTCCAACATCTCTGGAACTCAACATTTTTTTTTGAAGACTCAGGGATGTGGTATATATTTCTTTTTTTATTCCAAAAGAAACCATTAGCTTGATGAAGAATCAATCAAAGTTTGGGTCTCTCATTTTCATGAACTCTTTGCTGATGACCCCCAATATCTCCCTTGCTGTGTGTTGAGATTGAAACCTTATATTATTATCCAAATGACTTCTAGAAAATTCTGCCTGAAAATCCTACTGGCTCCTTTAAGTTAATAGTCACCAAATAGAATGCATTGTATTAATCTAGAACAAGTTTTACCTCCACATGTTTCCTATTTCAGCAGGAGCCTTCACTATATAATAAGCCTGCAAGAGGAAATACAGGACTCTTTCTTATTTTCTTCTCTTCCCCTAACTCTTACTTCCTCTCATCCACTAGTGTGGAGCTTACTCCAAAGTGTCTCATATTTATCTCTCTACCATCATGATAGATGCCCCATTCATAACTCCATCATGCTTGTGAGGAAGACTATAGCAGTCTTCTGAGAGATTTTCATGGCTCTATTGTAGTTTTCTGTCACTCCTATCAATGAGACTTTAAGAAGCACTTTAATCATTCTATTTTCAGTCTAATTTCTCAATATGATGCCTGAAATACATAGGTCTGTAACTCACAAGAGCCCCTCTGACAACAGAAGATGGAAATGGAGTGGCCTATCAGAGATGTTCAGCATCATGTCTCTGTTATTTAGACTGTAATCTTTAAAGAAAATTCAGGTACCATATCATGAGGTACATAAAGTCCTTCAATGTAATAGTCCTACCTTAGGTAAAGGTTTTGCAGGTTTGCAATGCAGTCCTCCAACAAATTCAAAATTAGGTAGGTATGGACGAGGAAATTCAAAATCCCAATATGTTCGAATTAGCCAAATTTCAGCTTTCCCCAGAGTCTCACATAATGTAGTGCGTCTTCCTGGAGAAAAAAAAACACAAAAAAAAACAGTTGGGTGAAAAAAAAATAGCCTGTAATTCAATGGGAAAATCTTACTATTAATTTAATGATAAGCTATGAAAGGAAAAATAAGTTTAGCTCTTCTAGAATAATATGGCTTCTAGATGTGAAATTAAAAGGGGCATTAATACAATAACATGAACTAAAGAGAAAAAGTAGGAAAGATGGAGAGAGAGAGAGAGAGAGAGAGAGAGGAGGGAAGGAAAAATAGTTAATTGCAAGTTTATTTTTACAGCATAAAATAAAACAACCATTTAACCACATCTCCAAACTACAAATTAATTTATTACTAATTTTTCCCTTCCATAGAATGACAAATGATATGTTAGCCCTGCAATATCTGCACCAAAACTCCTCTCAATTGTTTCTAATCTCCCAATCAGGAACATGTCCATGCCCCCCAGCATGTTATGGGATGACTCATATTGTTATAGGATCCATCAATATTAGTCCACCTTATCCTTCTGAGTTATCTCTCATCACTTCAATTGATGGGCCACTATTTTATTAGTGAGAGCTTCCTGAGTAATTCATACTCATGATGACCCTCTTTTTAGGATGAGAGGTACATGAGTACATACTATAATTACCACACACTTACTTTACTGCTGTCTTAAATGATGTGTTTTGAAGGGGAGACATTTAAGGTTAATCTCAGAAATGTTATGCAGAATAATGACTAATTAAAAATAACCAATTCAATCATTTCAGTTTACAAAAAATTGTATGTCTCATAACAGAGAAATGGAAAAAATTGAGATGAGAATCCTTTTCACGTTTGGATTCTCATCGAAGTTGGTGGTGGTATACACCCAGGGGAGGAAAGCCTCATTTTAGTTACTACTATTAAATGTTTGAAATTATATCCAAGGTCATAAAGTCCAAAGGCTGTAATTTGATAATAAAGAAACTTTGCTCAAGGACACTCAGTTTTAAATTGCCAGAGGATATATTAGACCTCCATTGCTAAGCTTCAAATTAATGTGTTTTTGCATTCTAGGTGCCTGCTTTCTTTGCCTCAAACCCTACCTTGATTTCAAACCCCTAGATGGTATTTTTATTCATCATTCTAATATGTCTCTTAATCATTTTTTCTTTATATGATTTACTTTATATGACATTAGGTTTCATTTTAGAAAGACAGTGCTTAAAGCAATTAGGAAAATTCTGTATTTAATGCAATGGTTCACAATATTGAGTATTAGGGAATGTAAGGATGGAGAATGTTGGTGAATTTAAGTACAAAGTAGTGTGTAAGTGATTTCATAATTTGAAATGTTCCACATGAGGAATTATGCACATAAAACAGTGAGATAAAATTGACAAATATCACTTTTCATTTTATTATATTATTCATATAAAAATGAGTCATTATGAAAGTGAATAATTCTAAAAATATATATAATTAATTGGTTATTAAATTTTAGCTCACAAGTAGATATTATTATCAAATAAATCTATTATGTTAAGCTACCTAGTGAGTCAAGTGCGATTGCTTTTAATTTTGAAGACTTCTTAAGGGTTGCATGAATGCATGGCAAGTACAACTTTTGCTTAACAGAAGATACTCTTTATGTTCCTTTCTCCTTTGATAATGCTTCTGTTCTCTTGTTCTCAACTTGAGTCTTTTCAGGTCTTTACTCATAATCCTATTATACCAAAAAGTGGTAGTGACCTATTATAGTTCTCAGTTACCTCCAAGGGTAGTCTTGAGCCAAGATCTTTGTACTTTTTACCTAGATCTATAGAGCCCAGCAGGTAGTCTGCACCCAGGACATGCATACTGAATATTAAGTCAATTAACTAATTAATTAATTGTTATAGAAAATCAATGCATTTAAGCTCAAATCATGTCTAAATCAAAGGAATTTTGAAGTGAGTTACTTTGAATAGTACTGTGAAAAATTATATAGTCAGCGATGTAAATTATATATTTAGTGTCAGATGTGATCTTTTGTTTGTTAGTTCATATCTGTACTTCTCAAAGGTAGTTGAAGTGGAAGGCTGTCTGGGTGGACTGATTCAGATCACAGCCAAGAGTATGGAATTGCAAAACAAAGCATTTTTATGCAGAGAAGGCAAGGAATTAAAAATAAGTAGAATAGGGCCGGCCGAGTGGCGCGATGGTTAAGAACTCGTTTGGGATGCCAGAGGGCCCC